GAGATTCGAACTCACGCCTCCAAAGAGACAGATTGGCTAGGGTGAAAGATCACCAAATAGCAGACCTGCGCCTTAACCACTCGGCCAAAGTGTCTTACTTGCTGAGATATCTTTATCCTTATATAACATAAACTTAAAATATTCTCAATATCTGACTATAGTCAAAGGCATAGGGCCAGCAACAATCATGGGAATTCTTGCGTGCTATGTATTGAAATACGCATTTTATTGGCCAATAATTGCAATATTTAAGCATCGTCAAATGTGCTCATTCTGGTGCTAATACCTAACTATCTACTATCAATCTTGAATGTATATTCTTACTGCGACCAACACTATACATAGGTACATTGACACCAAGCCAAGTTTAACATGGAGCAGCCAATGCTCCGAATACGAGCATGGCAACATGCAAGCCGTACATGCAACCAACTTCATATGTAAAACATCGATAAGAAATTGCGTTGATATCCGCAAGTCGATCGTGTAGCCACGAGATGGCTGTCGGCGTTGTTTGTTTACAGAATCTTTGTCAGCCCCCAAGTAATCAGTTGTGCTAGGCTTTCTTTTTTCTTTCTTTCTTTTTTTTTTTTTTTAATTTTAATTTTTAATTTTTTCATTTTCATTTGCCTAACTGCAAGTCCTTGTCCATGTCTCAAGGCTTGCCATCGAAGCGGCTACTATCTCAAATACATCTGCTAGTATCATTTTCTGGAAGCATGATATCAGAAGGTGAGCCCGATACAGTCTGGACGTACTTCATATATTGTGATAGGGCTCATTGACAAAGGAAAATATCACTCAGAAAATTATTTTTTTCATCCCTCCCACGCCCTTTACAACAACATGCTGTCTATATCTCCCGATACCCCATTTGAAATGTCCGAGCGAGACAATGAAATCCACCGGGAAGCCAGCACATCCCTTAAATATGAGGATAGCGAAGACGACAATGATGACAATGACGACAATGACGAGATTTACTGGTACAAGGACGATGACGAAAACCCCAGTAAGAATAGCGTCGATGGGGAGAGTGGAGACAAATTGCTTGAGAGTGAACATACAGGAGATATCAAATTTACTGGAATTACCGTGGGCAAGGACCACAAATCGGTTCCTGGTAAATACCACGGAGCCACACCCGAGTCAACACTTGATGTGTCCGTTGGGGAAACTGTCCATCAAATCCGGCGGTATATGGAATTCCGCCCAATAGCAACCGTGAGAGCCATCCAGGCCAATTTGGGGTATGAGCCAAAGTAATATTGGAAAAGCACTTCCTTACTGTGGATACATGTTCGCAGGCGGCCCATGGAAAAGAGCGCTGGTAATTTTTGGGGTTGATCCAAGGACCATATCTGAGTATCGCTTCTATCAAACGCTCATATTCAACATGGAGCTTGACCCTATTGTTGAACAAGGGAAGCATTATGGGTTGAAGAGTGGCAACTCCACATTCCCTCAATTTCTCAGAGGGCATGACAATATCTCGCACGTCTTTAGTGGCAAGAAGCTTGTACCAGATGATAACGTCTGGCAGATATGTGACAACAGATTTGCTCCTACAAAGAATCGTGTCTACAGAAAAGCTTCGCCTTGAGATCTCATGGAGAGATGGGTTCTTTTGGAACGGAAAAATGAGCCTTCAACAGGAAGCAATCATATCAGATATGGCTTTGGAGTTTGGTGCAAAGTATACGAGAAAACAGGCTTATCTAAGGGGTATGATTCTGACTAGGGCAAGGGTCATGTCAGAAAACCAATCCGCTGGTCTGCGACCCCAACAGGGCTTCCAGGAAAGCACACCGGCGCTTGAAAGCCCAATCACTAAGGAGCAAATTGATGTTCTTTCTGCAATAGGGAACAAAAAGTTGACTCGGCGCTTGTATAAGAGGACGCTGAAGATATTCCCCCGAGAAGAAAGGCTGAACGCAGTCAAATTCTATCGGACGCGGAAATATGTCGACCCGAGATCCGGAAAAGAACGACCAATCTCAATCAATAGTGCGTCTGAAACATTACATATTCCACCAGGGACATTGAGGCGATGGTCAAGGCAAGAACAGAAAATTGCAGGAATGAAACAAGGCTCGTCGAGAGCCAATGGAGTAAGGAAGGCTACATAGAAGAATTTTTTGAGAATACCACATTTGGTGCTGTAATATCTGTTCGTCATTTAATGGAGGATGTCACAGGCATTTTCACGGGCTCGGAAACTAGCAGATAAAACGAACAATATTCATATCTGGACTAGGTAGCCTAGCAACGAGAATATCGAATCTGGGGAAGAAGAAGAAAAGGAAATCTATCTAGGCGATGAACGGTCTTTATAGGCATTTGTGTGGTGCGGCTTCAGCCCTTGTTTGCCCATATTGCTTTTATGGCATCGTTTGATATGTTGGCGCTGTTTGTCTGGCGTTGAGCCGTTGAGCCGTCACAAGCATGGGAGTATATGTTGTGATACATGAAGAGATTCCGTGTGCTCCTTTTTACTGTATTCACTACTTTTCTCCGCAATATCTCGTGGTCAAACGTATCTCAGTTATTACTGGTATGGTATCCTCAGTCCGCGTCACGACAAGGTCCATGATTCTACAAATCTGCTGAGCAGCTTCCTCCTAACATTGATTATCCCGGCATCCAGGCGTCTAAACCATCCGACCAGCCTTTAAACCCCTCGATAGCACTTCCCGTCGTGGTTGCATGTTGCTGAAGATACGATACATAAAAGGCAGATCCTACTCGGGTCCTGGGAGCAGCCCTGCTAAGCTTATTGGTTTTGCCTTTTCAGAATCAAAGATGCCGGGGTCAACGATGACTTGATGACTTATGCTCTCGACAGATTGCTTTGTCCAGGACTTGCAAGTAGCTCAATCTTCGCTGGTCCCATAATATCATGCGCAGCCATTTAAACAGGTAGGCAATTTCGAGAAGAATACATTTTTCAATAATGTGTCAACCCTGTTTCTACTGGGCCTGATCTGATATACATATATGTATTGAACAAACACCTTCAAAGTGGATTCTGCTCCTTGCGACCAGTCATCATCTTAAAAAAGAAAAAAGGAAAAGAAAAAAGGAAAAGAAAAAAGGAAAAGAAAAAAAAAAAACAGACGTGTTCAAGAAATGTTGAAAATAAAGGAAAAAAATATCGACACCTGTGAGATTCGAACTCACGCCTCCAAAGAGACAGATTGGCTAGGGTGAAAGATCACCAAATAGCAGACCTGCGCCTTAACCACTCG